CCCGCCAGCCCCTTCTCCTCTGGGCGGCCCAACCAGCCCCCAGGCCGAGGGGCGCCGCTTCCAGGATGTTCCCCAGCCAAGGTCCCGGCACGTGGCCCTACTTTGCAGGTGGGGGTGGCCGGAAGGCCCGCCAAGGCCTTCTGGAGGGGCTTGGCGGTGGCTGGGGGGCCCACGGTGTGGATGATGATGTGCCCCTTCCTATCTCCCCGCTCAGTCACGGAGGCAGACCTGGCGCTGTCTGGCATGAAAACGCTGGAGCACGTGGCGGTCACGGTCACCGTCACCCACCCTCGCCGAGGCAACTTGGTCCTCAGCCTCTTCTGCCCCAGCGGCATGAGCTCCTTGATCGGGACGGCCCGCAGCATGGACTCGTGAGTGGGGAGGAGAGGGGAGGGAGCAGCTAAGCAAGGGAGGCGCTGGCCACCCCAGCCTGCCCTGCGGGGAGGGGACCCCTTTTGTTCCCTCTCTTAGTGCCGGGGGGGGCGTGGGGGGAGCCCTCTGGATTTCCCTCAACACCCACGCTGGGTGGCTTCCCAGCTTTTCTAGAGGGTCTCTCTGGTTCTGGCATTGTAGCGTTATAGTCAGAGGTTGTGGGGGGTGGTACGTTTGCCCCATCCTCTTGCCTGCCACCCACCCCTTGGATGTGCCCCCCCAAGCTCCCCTGCAATTGAACCTGGCCCTCTGGCTGAAATAGGCTTTCCTGTTGGTTAATGAAGGAGAGAAACCTCCAGCGCACAAAGCCCCGTTTCCTGTCTCTGAAAGGGGGTTGGTCTAGATGATCTTTAGGTGTCTATCCTCTGGTTCCCCAAAGCCCCCTGAGGCCTGGCTCCTTCCCTGGGTGGCTGGCGAGGGGTCTCCTCACAGGCCCCCTCTTCTCCTCCCCTGCAGGGATCCCAATGGCTTTTTGGACTGGACTTTCTCCACCGTGCGCTGCTGGGGTGAGGAGGCAAAGGGCACCTACCGCCTCCAGATTCAGGATGTTGGTGAGTCCTCTCTCCTGGGGATGCGGTTGGGGCTCTGAGCTCCCCCCTTGGCCAGTAAGGAGGGGCAAGGAGGGGCAGGACGAGCATGTGCACATGCCTGGACCCCCTTGCATACACACACACACACACACACACACACACACACACACACACACACACACACACACACACACCCCACAAGCTGGTGACATTTCTCGCTCGTGGCTTAGCAGAGTCTTCCTGCATTGGGAAGGGGCTGGGCTGGATGACCGCTGAGTGCCTCTGCTCAGCCGGTCTTTCTGTACTTCTATGAACTCCGCTGGGCTGGATGACCGCTGAGTGCCTCTCACACATTCACACACACACACACCCTCATTCCAGGGGACGAGACCCTAAGAGCTGGGGTGCTGAAGCAGTGGCAGCTGACGCTCTACGGATCCTCCTGGGCCCCCGAGGAGATCAAGGAGCGGCAGAGGTAAAGGGGGAGAGCCCTGGCCCTCAGCTACGGGACAAGCTGGTTGGGGGTGTTTTGGGTCCCGGATTCCAAAAAGACAACTGGCTCACATTCTGTTCCCTCTGCAGCCAGAAACACAGGGTGTGCTTGGGGGCACACCTACCCGCCCACCCCCGACATGGTCTTGCGATTCCACTGGAGGGGGTTTCCTTGGAGAGAGCGGCGGGAGAAGTGCAAGGCAGGGGGCGCTCCAGCGGTGGCTTCGGTGGGCTCTGAGCTTTGTGTATTGGAATGATCCTCAGCAGCACGCGGCTTGGCTCGTTTGCATGAGCCAGCTAGAGATATTCGCTCACACTTCTTTCTAGTCAGGGAAAGGAAGGGAGGGAGGGAGGGCTGGGGTGAACCGAAGCAGTCTAGTGGAGGAAGGGCAAGAAGGAAGGGCCCGTGGCCACTCTCCTCTGGGTGATGGAAGGCGGCTCTCTCCTGCAGGCGGCTGGAGGAGGCCATGAGCGGCCAGTACCTGGAGGGCAACTTCTCCTTGCCCTGCCCGCCGGGCCTGCAGATCCCCGAGCAGGAGGCCTACGCGCTCTCCACCAACACCCTCAAGGTGCGGAATGGTTGCCCATGGTAGGCAGGGGGCGTGGGGCATGTGTGCAGATGGAGAATATCAGGGGGAGGAGAGGGAGGGAGGGAGGAAGGGGTGCGCCGTGTCCAGTCCAAACCAAGCTGGGCCACTGGGTCCTCCTTCAGGGCTTGGCTTCTGGTTGTGTTTTGGGGAAGGGGCGATCTGGGAGGACGCTATAGGGCCGGGGAGGGGGTCCCCCCGGGCTGAGGTGGCCCACCCTCCGCCTTGACTCTCGCGTTCCTCCCCCAGACCCTGATGCTGCTGGGCTGCTTTGCCATCTTCTGGACCTTCTACTACCTGCTGGAGGTCTTCCTGACCCGCCACTCCCGGGCCCACAACCTGCCGGGCTGCGGTGGGGGCCGCCCTGCCTGCCGGTGGTACCCCCGTGGCCGGAGAGCCCTGAGCCTGGAGGACGGGGCTGAGGAGGAAGAGGTGGTCCCCTTGTACGGAGGGAAGGAGGTGGGAGGAGAGGCTGAGCCGCCCCTGCCGGGCCTGGCAGCTGCCGAGGAAGAGGAGGAGAAAGAGGAGGAGGAGGAGCGGCTGGACAAGAGCCTGCTGGCACCCAAAGCCCTCCCAAGGGAGAGGCCGGCTGAACCTCCAGGACCAGGAGCAGCCCACCTCACCCAGGGCTTCCTGACGGCTGACAGAGAGCGCCAGGGATGCTAGTGCACAACCATCGCCTGTGGCTCCTGGGGGTCACTCCCCCACAAACCCCCCACTCTCTGTCCGGTTTGGTGCTCTTTTATGGGGGGGGGCTGGCCGAGCCGAGCCAAGCCGGCAGCCTCTTGGGCCTTCTGCCCTCTCTGCCCGAGCCGAGCCAAGCCGGCAGCCTCTTTGGCCTTCTGCCCTCTCTGCCCGCCAACGGGACTGCCTGGAGGGGTGCAGAGGCTTGACTGCGAGACGGCCGGCCAGCCCAGGACGGCCCACGGAGGTGCTGCGCGGGTGACGTCTGCAGGGGGACAACCTCACCAGGGCGGGGATGGGGGGGCACAGAGGAGGCCTGGCACGGCCTCAGCAGGGATGGCGCTGAAGCTGGGATGGGCCCATCCTCCTGAGGCTGGACAGGGGCCTCCGCAAAAGCCCCAGGGCCCTGCTTCTCCAGAGGGGCCTTTGAGGAACCGACAGGGCCTCTGGCCTCATCCTGCTGTAGCGCCCTGGCCCAAGTGAAGGAGGAGCAGATCGTCCGGGGCTGTGGGGGGGCCCTCGGGGGCCAGCCGCTTGCCTGCCTTGGGGCCATGTCTCCCGCCTGGAAGCCTGGCCCTCTGCCCTCTCTCTGCCTTGGCTTTCTGCGCCCCCCAGCCTGCCTGTTCCCCTGCTCTTGCTTGCCTTTCCAGCACAGGAGGGGGGCTTCCTTGCGCCGCTGCCCCCCCCTTGCGCCCCGTGCCAGCACCGCCTGGTGCAGCCAAAGCCGACGGGAGGCCGGCTGCCCTCCGCTGCCTTTGCCTAAGGAATCTGTGGCCCAGATAGAACCAGGAGGTGGGTGGAGGGGCCCCCGGAGGACCCCTGCCCACGGGCAGAGTGACGTTGGCGAGGGTGGGTGGGTGCACAGGGCACCCCCTTCTCCAGCCCCCCCCCAACGTGTGTGGCCTGCGGTTTAGGCTGTGGAGGAGGGCTCTTCCGCTCTCCGTCGGCTGGAGAGCTGAGGCCTTTGCCCTCCCTCTCTCTACCTCTGTCTCCCAAAATCATCTTCTGGCTTGGGGGATATTTTTAATTAGCCACCGCCTTCTTTCTTCTTCATCATCATCATCTTCCTTTTTGTAATTAACAGCAGAATCATTTCTTTGCCGCTTTCCAGAATAAAACTGTTAAAACCAAACGGTTCGGGGCTGCAGCTCCACCTTTGCTGTCTGTCTGTCTGTCTGTCTGTGGCCTCCTAGGAGGGGCTCCCGTCCCCCTCCCTGTCCCTGAAGACCCGAGCAGGGGGGTGTCCTCTCCAGACAGCGTGGGCTGAAGCACCTCCGTCGTTCCTCCTCTTAGGACAGGGTGGCTTCTTTCCCGTCACCCAAGGGGGCAGCCACAAGGTGGGGTCTTAAGGGCAGGGCCCCCGAAGGGGACCACCGCAGCAGGAAAACAAGAGGCGAGGAAAGCAACCTGTCTCGCGGGGACCCAAGCTAAAAGAGAGGCACCGTCTCAAGAAGTACAAAAATAAGCTTTATTGTTATAAACAGCCTGATGTACGTTGGCTAGAAAAGGTTCACCGGGCCCTGCCTATTTTTATGCCATCCACGTCTCCTGCCCCTCTTTCGCACGGGGCACTTTTCTGTGTAGCCAGCCAAGGGGGTGGACCGGCTGGTGGCTCTTGGCACCCGGCACAGTCTCGCCAAGAACTCGACAGTGGGGCTGGGGCTGCGGCCAGCTCAGCTGCGTTTCTCCTCTACTCGCCACTTTCTTTTTTTCCTTTTCTGGCAAGCTGTCTTTTCACAAGCCGGCCACTTGCCCTGCGTTTTCATTTTGGGGGACAAGGAACGACCCGCGGCTTTTGCCAAGGGCCCAGGAGGCCCAAGGGCTGACCCCGGGCAGCCTGGCTGTCAGAGCGTTCTCGGGGTCTGCCCTTCTGCCTTCTCCTGCTCCAGGCCTACCCCCTTTCTCCTGGCCCCACAACTGCAGTGACAAGAATGGGGGGAGTTGAAATAAATACCCAATAAACCTAAAAGGATTCATAACTTTTTAATTGATGAACCAAAAAATAAAAGTACAAAACAGGAAGGGGGGGAAAGGCAGTCCCTTCCCTGGACACTTGGCTAAACGGTCAGTAGAAAAGGTTCTCTCTCTCACTCTCTCTCTCTTTCTCTTGTGTACATCGTCTCTCTCTCTCTCTCTCTTTCTCTTGTGTACATTTCAGCCACATTCAGTGGTTATGGGGACAGGAGGGTTTTTTTTTGGGGGGGGAGCATTTTTCTAACGGCCACTGGGACCCCTCCCCAAGCCATGGCTGTGGAATGGGGGCGCAGGTGGTGCTGAGGGCATGCAAAATGACGTCTGGAAGGAGGCAGGGCGGGCGAAGGAGCGAGAAGGAAGGCTGGCAGCCCCTGGCACCCCCTGGCAGCCTCATCGGGCCCTTGGGCTTGGTCTCGGATGCATGTGGTTCCCGGGGCGTGGTTAAGGTGATTTTAGGAGGTTTCCCAGAAAAGAGCCACGTGGCAGCCCGGCCATCCTAGCAGCATGAGCAGCAGCAGCAGCAGCAGCAAGAGGAGGAGGAGGATTTCTTGGGGTGGGGGGGCAGAAGGGTGTTTGGGCTGCGAGTGCAGGAGCCAGAGGGCCGTTTCTGCTGGTGCTTGTGGGGTGGGGGTGGGGTGGGGGCTGATGGCAGTGCTGATCCTGCTTTAGCTGATGATCTGCCGGGGCCGCCCGTAGCCTGTCATGCCCGCCTGCGAGGCTCCCTGGTTGGACCCCATCTGTAGCCCGATGACATTTTTGCCCTGCTTGAGCTGGCTGTCCGAAAAGTCCCGCTTGTTCTCCTGCGCTTTCCTGCAAGGGGAGAGAGAGAGAGGGAGAGATCATCCACGGTGCTTTTGAGTCCCACTGGAACAGAGGGTCTTGCTCAAAGGCTCATTGCTGATGTCTCAGAAATGACTTTGCCAAAGAATCGCCGTCCTACCGTGATGGGGAGCTGACTGTTGGCAAGAGGAGCCGTCCCGTGTATTCATCCGCAGGCACCCTTGTCGCTTACGGCTTCTCCTTTGCAAGGACTCGGTGCGCAGGGGAGGCAGGATGAGGGAGCCCACCGAGTGGCGTGCCAAGAAGGAGCAGAGGGAGGACCCATGGGGTGGGAGGGGAAGGGAAGGGACGGACTGGCCCCTTTGCAGGCAAGCAGGGGCAAAGCAGGGGCAGAGGGAAGACTCGGTGGCAGGAAACGTCTTGACTTCCCAGGTGGGCTGTCCCTGCATCCCAGGAGCCACCCATGGACCATCGATGGACAGACATGCAGCAGCTTCTGCTGGGAATGTCGGCTTGGGGCTGCCGGTGGTCCAAGACACCTCCAAGCCCTCCCACCCCACCCCCCAAAAGAACCCACCATTGTTGGGTACCGTTTCCCCCCCCTTCACACCAAAGACAACTTTGCAAGCAGAAGAAGATAAACCCCACCCTGGCTGTCAGGGATGCCTCCCTGCACGGGGGGAGCCCAAGGTGTCCTCCTGGGACAAGCCAGACTTAGCACAGCGTTCCCTTGGACCTGCCTGCCTGCTTGCAGCCAGTTGTCCATTGGAGCCCTGGCATCTAGCGAGCTGCCTGCTGCCCAGGCTTTGCATGAGCGTCTGTGCGTGTGTGTGTGTGCAGCGTTTGGAGACATTCCTCTCTTGGGCTTTAATGTCCAGTCCCCTGGCCCCCCTCCCCAGGGCTGCAAGGCCAGCGGTCATGCTGGCTGGGGGATGCTGGCCGTTGCAGTCCCAAGGCCGACCGGCCGGGAAGGTCTGGCCCTTGGGAGGTGCGCACTTACTTCATGAACCAGCTGGGGTCTCCACGATACTGCCCATCATCCTTGGTCACCGCCAGGCTGCCCAAAGCCACCAGTGTCCTCTGCACAGCTGCCATGTCCTTGGCTGGAGGCAGAGGAAGAAAGAAGAGACCCACTCAGGAGGAGCAGGAGCGAGCTGCGGGCCGTTCGCCCACTGGCAGGCGACCTCTCAGGGCGCTCTGCTCTCTACTGCCAGAGCCACAGAACTGGACTGCGGGAATCGAAACAAAGGGTCATCTAGTCCAACCCCTTCCAGAGCCCTCTACCGCTCTTCTGAGTCCTGCAACCAAGGGGGATCTGCCACCGTCCGAGGCAATCCCTCCCACCACTGATCCATTCTTATCTGTCAGACCGTTCTTCCTCATGTGGAGACACCACCTCCTTCCTTGTAAGGAAACTCCAGCGCACACAGCCCCCTCCTTGTTCATCTGCCAGCGGCCAACCAAGGAAGAGGCCCTGAAGGGTTCTGGTCTCTTTAGCCAGAGAGCAAGGAGCATCCCAAGTATGCCTCGATGGAGGAACCACCAGGGAGGGTTGGGGAGACATTTCTCCATCTTTGGCACACACCCCCAGGTGTGTATTTGGGACATGGTCTCCCAGAAGCCAGAGCCTATGGTCAGGGATCCCGGGAACTGGAGCTGATCTGCAGCATCCAAGATGGACAGTCGCAGAGCTGGGCAAGGAGAACCCCTGATCTCCCTCCTGGGAAGCCAGCTTCCTTGGCTGGATCAGTCCAAGGTGAGTCCTTGTGCCCACTCTCCCGAGCCCCAGGTACAATGGAGGGGAGACTTTTTGGCAGCCCCTCCAGAGTAGCTTCAGGTCTCCCTGGGCATTCGGTGTTCCTGTATTTTGGCGCCCGTTGTCTCACAAGGGAAGCCTGAACCTGGCAGGCTCTTAGCTGGGGTGGGGGGGGGGGGCGGAGGTTTGCTGGGGGTGGTGGTGGTTATGCCCAGCAGCAGCGAAACAGGAGGGGGAGCTAGCAGC